TTCATGTGTGAATGTGTGTGTGTGTGTGTGTGTGTGTGTGTGTGTGTGTGTGTGTGTGTGTGTGTGTATGCGTGTCTACTCCTCTTTCTCTCTCTTTCTATCTCCCCTCCCCCTCCCTTCCCAAACCAGACCTCAATTCCTCCATCCAATATATAAAAGTCCATTTCTTTGTCTAAAAACTTTGTAGAACTATTCTCAATGTCCTCAGAATTCACAGAAAGGGTTGTCCACGGAGAAAGGAATTTTGAGGTAAAGTAAATGGGTCTACATACACATTACAGTGACTGTCGCTTTCAACGAGATCACATTCAACGAGAAGTCGGCTCCAACGAGGCAATCCTTAATCCCCAATTTTTTCCCCTCTGTATCTCTTTGTAAATGTACGTCAGCTCCAACGAGGTTGCAAACAGAACAAGGTCGCTTTCAACGAGGTCGCAATAACTTAAAACATAGGTGAAAGCAATTAGTGGCCCCAAAAGCGAAGAATTTTTCTCCTTTTTCTCCCTCTCACGCGAAGCACAAGGCCCATCCTCGATTCCTAACACATTGTATTGCTAGATCTAGTGTGCCTCCTGATATGGGCACCAAAGCCAAGAGGATGGGCGAGGGTTCGCCGACCGTAGGGATCAGAGGGGATGGGTGGGAACAGGATGCAGGCTGTGTGAAACTGGATGAACTCTGGATGGGTAGGTCCAGATCGAGACCTTCATTTTTTCAAGTTTTCTTCCCCTAATCCGAAAATCCAAGCTCTCACCTTTACTTTTTGTAGATCTAGGCCTAGGTGTGAGAGGGTATGTTTCCTCACGAGAAGTGTTCTGGGAAAAAATATCTTAATGTGCAGAAATGACGGCCAGAACACAGCTCAAACACGTGCACACTGATGCTGTTTGAGTTTGAGATTTTCGTCATCAAGAGGAACAACTGTTTTAATTACTGGTATTGGTACGTCGTGTAATATAATAACTTGTCTCCTTTCTTTTCTTTAGCCTTTAGTCACGTTCAACGAGAGGTCGGATCCAACGAGGACAACAAGCCGGTTCCGGCAACCTCGTTGAATGCGACACCCACTGTAGTATTGATTGTTTTTGTTTGTTTGTTTGGTTGGTTGGTTGGTTGGTTGGTTGGTTGGTTGGTTGGTTGGTTGGTTGGTTGGTTGTTGTGTGGGGGGGGGGGGGCTGTTAGTTTTTATTTTGTTTTTGTTTTGCTTTATTTTGTTTTGTTTTTTTGTATTTTTGTTTTGCAAAATAAACTGGGGCTCTGGTGGTGCAGAGGTTACGGTGTTCGCCAGGGGCGGCTCGTGGGGCTAAAAGGTGGACGTGCACAATTAAGCTATTGCATGCTGCAGACAGTCAAGGGCATAGTAAATGAGACGGTGTAAAATGTTAGGATCTTTGCGTTGGTGAGGGAGGACCTTGTGCTTTTATTTTCATTCTTTTTACTTGCCGCTTTGATTTATAGTACCGGTACTAATTTTGTTTGTTAGCTAAACATCAATTTCGTTCATCCTGTATTGGAACTGAACACTCAAGTAATAACTTTCACTACTCCATTACAAAACCATTCAAAGTCATGTTCACCTCCCTCAGATTCACGGTCACAGAGTCACTTAAAATAGTGGTAGGACAGACAATGAACCAATCACAATTCACTTGGGTTGCCCGGGGCTCACATAATATTGGCAAACAATAGCGTACGGTCTATTGCGTTTATTTTAAGACTGCCTACTGTGGGCTATGTTTCGGCACTATTCGACAGGAGCACATTTGAGATGTGCCGTCTTATTATATTGTTACGAGTGTCGTCACTGCTTGGGTTATCCCCAAGAGCAATGTATAGGTCAGGTTGCACTGTTGAATATCCTATCATGTTTAGCTAAAGCGCGTGGACTTTGGCATGGCATGGTAGATGTTTTATGGGCGCTATAGACACAGAAATGACAGTTATGGCGCCAGTGAGGACCTTGTTTAGATATAAAATTTTCTAGTGTTTGTTTCAGGCTTTTATTTTATTATTGGGGTGTTTTACGTAATAGAACATTTAAAAATGTTGGGCGGAACTGCACAACCTTGCTCTATGGACGAACCGCACCTTGTGTTCGCCTCTCATTCAATAGGTCCCGCGTTCGAAATCTGACAGCGACGGACAATTTTCTTCTCTAAAAATATCTTTTTTCACCTCCTTTCCTACTCTCTAACCGTGTTCTGCCGTCTGCTTTCTCCATCCCTTTCTCCCCCCCCCCCCCCCCCTCTTGCCTCCTCCTCTGTGCTACTGGCTCTTTCTGCAGCCTTCTTACTGCTACTCCTTGGCTCATTCTTAAAAAATCTTTCAGCCACACCCCTAACCTTATGGTAAGAAAGATTTTCACCTAGCCTTCTCGACACAAGGATGAAAAATCTCGGAGATCCCGTGTGCAAGTTGTGTACGTTAAAGCTTCCTTGATGGTCCAACATCGATAAGAGTAGGCTTCAGCCGCCACCCGGGTAAAATTCAACGTTAATTCCTACCAAACTGAAAATGTTCAATGTGTCCCGCCCGCTCATATGGCCTTTTGCAGTTGCGAGCTCAGTAAAACACTTACCAGAACAAACAAACAAAATGAAACAATTTGGTAAATAGGTTCAAAATTAGAAACAGTTTAATTGATCTAAAACCGGTAGTTAGCCCTTTAGTCACAGAGGTCAACCAATTTCTTTCAAGCTCCGTAGCCCAAAGAGTCCCAGAAATCGCAGAACTCCTTTCTGTAATTTTGTATTATGCTGCTTTCTGGCGTTTGGAAACGCATTGAGGCCCAGGCAGAGCGAGGTTCGAACTGGGGCCAGTTGGGCAATTGTTCTTGAGAGGCGGAATCTTCAGCAGGTAGAGAACCTGAGAACGTTGAGTCATGGTTCCCTTCTTTGGGATGAAACCGGAGTGACTTGTCTAAAACTTGTCCTGCATTGACCCGTTGGCTCTCGACTTCTCGTCCAAGATTCCCTTTTCCGTTTCTGATCACAAGCTGATGGACATGGGTGTCTTTAATATCATCTTTTCCATCTTTCCGAAAATCAGGGACGAGGACCACTGGGTGGGGTTTGTTAGTGTCTCCATATAAGGCAGTGGGGCGTGGTTTATTCGGGTCCCCATTCCATGCAAAGTTTGACCAATAGCTGATCACGTTGTTGCTAAGGACAGTCTCCTCTGGTGTGAAGGAGAAGTTACCCTTATAGGCCGTAGCAAAGACGTAAGGCAGCTCAGAACCGTGGCAAACTCGACCTAGAAGAGAAATGGAGATGAACGATCGAAACATTTTTATCGATGCTATCATTCTCATAATCATTATTATTAGTAGTATTTTTATTATAAGTAGTAGTAGCAGTAGCAGTAGTAGTAGTAGTAGTAATAGTAGTAGTAATAGTAATAGTAATAGTAATAGTAATAGTAATAGTAATAGTAATAGTAGTAATAGTAATAGTAGTA